GAATGACGGGCCAATTGCCTGGAACCCAATAGGGTGGGACCCGGCCTAAAAGGGCCTAGTATGCAGCAGACTCTGATTGGCTGAGAGTTCAATGCTGCAATGGATTACACAAAGCTGGTATCAAGACAGATTGAAATACTTACACTATCTACGTTTAAAAATACCTTTATTGTTTTTAATAAATACCTAAGTGTGAAAATCAGCATTTTTTATATTTACCAGAATATAGCTTCAATAATAAGAAATCTCTATGTTTCTGTACTTTCCAGCGTATTCAATCTACAGATCACAGAATAACAGGCATCAGGCATTCCATTATAATATGCATCATAAATGACATTTGGATTTGCATATAACTAGGGCAAATTACTCTTCTCCCACTATAAAGACAGTATATTAATAGTTACATGACGCCTGACAAACAGAACTTAAACAGCACAGGCCCTTGTATATGTAGTATTTTGTCCTTTATAGGTAAAGCACATATTCACTTTAAGCATGATGCTTTTGGGTTTAGCAGTACCTGTCTCCATCAGAAATTTAAAAACAAATCCTGCTTGCTGTATCTTTGATGCAGTCTCCAGCAAAATGTGCTTTACATAGAGTTCAATGGTAAAGGATGTAAAATGTGCCTACAAAACACTGCACCTGCAATGCATAAATGTGAGCAGAGTCAAAAGCCTAATTACTGGGGCATTCAGGCGCTCTTAAATGCTTAGCATTATGGTCTATAGCTTGTACTCTTATCCCTAAGAACAGGTTACTTTAATCCAGACTCCACATTGCAAAAAGGTTGCATTAAGGTGCTCTGCGTTAAGTATAGACCATTATTATGGGACATGCAGCATTTTCTTAGCATGCTGTCGTGCATTGTCCAACAGCCGCTAATGTGCTATGTGTTAAAGGCACAACAAAAAAGTGCAGCAGGATGCACACCTTGCTGTGTGTTGTGATAGCGTGTTACCATAACGTGACTACCCAAATGGGCCCAGAGGTTCTTCCCTCACATAGGAACATGAAAGCTTTGCTTGTACTCTGAAATGCATTTTTCCTTAATGTAATTTGCAAAGAAAGAGCAGAGCTCTTGTTCTAATTCTTTCTTATAAAAGTGTTCACACAGCCGTCTCTCAGCTACCGGTGGATGCCCCAGTGCAAGACCAACTCATCCCCTGTTCAAAAAAAATCAATTCCCTGTACATTGAATGACAGTTAGATAGAACTAAGTTGTGTTTAAGTCTACATGACAGTTGGAAGCGTCCAGCATCCATCTAACCCACATCCAGTATAAAAGGGTACCCAAGTTTTAGAGGCCCCCTGTACAGCTCCACAGTCCGCACAAATGGTATGTCCACTCCACCCTTGCTATTAGCCCAACCCACTTAGGGTCATTTGGGTACATTTGACAAGCACACCTGTTAGTTCCTAAAACTTACTAGACTGGCTTTATGAACAAAAAGCACCTAACATGACCTACAATACCTTTAAACACCTTCATGAGTAGCCCAAGACCAAACCTTGAAACACTAATATATAAATCTGACACTTCTGTATGAAACTGAGTGCCCACCCCTTCCAGCCTCCCAAAAATCCCTAAGGGCCCATCAATGTAAAGGAGGGCCTTACTGGCCAATAGGTAGGTGTGGTATTTGGGAGGAGGTAAATCTCAACTCCATCAGAAAGTGTTGGAGGACAATCCAATGTCTGTGCAATTTTCTCTACACACTTTTCATATTTTGCTCTGCCAGCTATCAAGTTACTATTTTCTCCCTATACATCTTAGCCATTGAAAACAAACCACACATCTATCTGTGATCAGTCAATGATTATCTGTAAATGATGTGTTCGGTAAATAGCTGTGAGATGGAAATAGTGATAGAATTTACTCTCTACTCTCGTGCCTTTTATTTTGCAATGACAATGACCTTGCCATTCACAATGTGAATTTTTCTGAAGCGTACAAACACATTCCTCTGAGCTGACACCACTCACTGCTACAGATTTATCCTAAAGGAATCTAAAACTTGCCACAAGGCCGTTCCTACCATCAGGCGGGAGAATTTTAGTGCCTTCAAGGGGAATGCAAGGGGCAAGGTTCTTATGTTGTTTTTATGGCTGCCTGGCAGTTTCTTGGTGCTGCAGATGTTAAGTAAACCCAGAGGGGTTAAAGGTTTGGCTGCTGTGTGGTGCCGATGTCGGGCTCTTTTCAGAATACTCCTTCATCTTACTTTTAACAAAATAATGAAGAAAAACTGAAGGTTTTGTATCAATAAATTACAAAGAGCCCAGTGCAAGCTTGTGTTTCTAGTGAGCAGAGAACATTGAGCTGTAAACTGAACATTTCTATCTCTACTAACTTAGGAGTGAAGGAACGAAGGAAGGAAGGAAGGAAGGAAGGAGGGAGGGAGGGAGGAAAGGAACGAGGAAGGAAAACAAGGAAGGAAGGAAGTATAGAGGGAGGGAGGGAGGAAAGAAAGAAAGGAGGGAGGGTGGGACAGAGAGAGGAAACGAAGGAAGGAAGGGGAGGAGGGAGAAAAGGAAGGAGGAAGGAAGGAAGGAAGGAAGGGGAAGGAAGGAAAAGGGGAGGGAGGAAGGAAGAAAGAAAGCAGGGGGAAGGAAGGAAGGGGAGAGGAAGGAAGAAAGAAGGAAGGAAAGGATTAGGAAAGGAAGAAAGAAAGGAGGGGGGAGGAAGAAAGAAGGGGGTGGGAGAAGAGGAAAGGAAGAAGCGATGAAGGGAGGAAAGGAATGAAGGAAGATGGGAGGAAGGAAGAACGGTAGGAGGAACGGAAGCAAGGAAGGACATGAAGGGGAACTTTCTCTAAGACAAATATGGGGATTGCTATTGCTTACCTCCTGAAAAACTGGCCCTCTGACAGCAACATTTTCTGAGAAACTGCCTGGACTATGAGTCAAAAAGATCAGGGCACAAGCTTATGTTTGCAGTGGGTAGAGAACAATAAGCTGCCAACTGAAAATTTCCAATTTAGCTAACCTAGTTTATGTGTTGCTAAATTGCAAAACTGAGGGGATGGAAGGAAAGGTGGGAAGTGGGGGAGGGAAGGACGGAAAGCCCTAAAGAGATCCTTTCCCATGAAAACAATAGGAGCTACAATGCTAACCACCTGAAAATGCTAGTTTCCTGGTTGACATGCTGATCCTCCGGCTTCAATACTTTCAGCTGATAAATTCTAACTCTGTCAACCTAGCTTATTGTTGGTAAATGGCAAAACTGCAGACCCTCTACTTTAATCATTTCAGAGTCACAGACCCATAATGTAGTAGGTAGATAGGAAAGTCCAACTTTTTTATCTGCCTACCTGTTCAATGCCTTGAAGCAGGAGGCTTGATATGACAGCCAGGCAAAAACCATTAGCAAAAAGAGAAACCAGCAATGACAGATTCCATACATCCCAGGAAAGGTTTCCTTTACAATCATATCTTTACATTTATTATTGTTATTATTTATTATTTACTATTTTTACTATTATTTAGCATTTTCAAAATGCTGAGACCTACAGTTCCCCAGCTCCAGTGCCTAACACAATATGACAAAGCATTGTAACTATATATGAGATGACTTCAATGTGATTCACAGAAAACAAAGCAGCATCTCAGTACTTGACTATACTTAATATTTGACAGCTTGAAACAACACAAAGCCCAGTTCTGCTATAAGACACACACGCATACACACACAGAGCATATGCTATTGTAAAACTTCCCTGAAGACAACTGCAAAAATATTGGTTTAACTAGGTTATGCAGGAAAGGGTGCAGTGATCTCAGCTCTGAAGAAGCTGTCTTAGGGGGCACTGCACTATATTGTAATGCACTTGATATTGTTCTTTATGCTGCCTGATGCTATAAGCACGCTCTCTCTCTCTCTCTCTCTCTCTCTCACTCTCTCTTTTGTGCATATGAGTTTCCCATTGAAAAAGAAGTCAGACAAGCCAAGCAAGCTACAGGGGCTTGAGGAAAAAAAAAACCTTTTCTCCAATCAGCAAGAGGATGAACTGAAAGAGTTACTGAGCTGACCCAGAAAAAATATATATATATATCAATGTCTAATCGACACAGTTTCATCTGGATTACAACAAGCAAGTGAAGATCATTAATAAAAGTTCAGTTCATTTTTTTCCCCTTGGAAAAATAGAGCAATATCCAGGAGCAGAGAAGAGTGAAGACTGGCAAAAAGAAACCCATCTTTGCTGTAGGAGGATTTAATTCCCTTCTTCTGTGGCTCTCCTTGAGGGGATGTTGGGGCTAATCTACAGCTTCTCCTAATAAGCATTCCTTTGGGGTTTCCTCCTAACTTGTCCTAGAAGCTTACAGTTGACTCTGGTGCTGGACTTGATCTTCACTAGGGCTCTTGACTAGGATGCTGCTATCTCCACTTGAGCACCTCAAGATGCTGCTGTCTCCAAAGCTTCTGCAATGACCTTAGCTTTGGATATTTTGGTAGAACTTCCTCGGTTGGGTACCATTTATTTATTTATTTTGACTAGTTAAGAACTTCAACTTGTGGACAAAAGTTTAAAGTGGAAGAAGTTGCCCTTTGCCTGCAGCTGGACGGAGACAGGTGGCTAAGCTTGCCTTCTCTTTGCTTGTTTTTGGATATTTTATTTCTACACCCTACAAGATTTGTAAAGAGAAGAGAAAAATAAGAGTTTGCTCTTATGGGAATGAAACACTCCTCCCGCTGCTTACTCCTAAGAAGGAAGATGGCTGAAACTGAGACTGTAGAGGTAGGTCATGGCTTGGGGGGGTCGTAAGGTTGGGAAGACCTGGGACAGCATGGGAAAGGTAAATGTGGCCATCGCAATGGGGTAGCATGTGTGCTGGGCGATGAGGGGGCTTGTATTCTGCTAGACAGAGCTGTCTGTGGCTGTGTCACTGCTTCAGGGACCGATCTCACCTTTTGCATGGATATGGGTACCACCAGGTCACCCATCGCGATCCTCAGCAACATCAGCCCGCAACGATCAAAGGAAGGGGGGTTGCATTGCAGAGGCATTGCCGTGTTGCGTGAACGTGACATGGGCTGTAATGGGGCTGGAGCCATGTGATGCTGCACATTCACTGTATAGTAAGCAGCGTTTGTAATCTGTAATGTGACAGCATAATAAAGCCTCTGCTGTACAAGTGATGCTCGATGCGGTGCTGTGTCTATAGCAGCATGGAGGACGAGATCCACTTGCCAGCTACCCAGGCAGCTATACTGGCATGCTGTGCCCTTGAAGGAGTAAAGGTGAATGGGCAGCATGGGGCTGTGTGAGTGGGGTGGTGGGGGGCAGTGGCGAAAGCTTGTATAATGAGTGCTCAGGTATAATGCAATCCTGTTCCATGTACTGTATATTCAGGTCTAATAAAATGAGAAGGGGTGAATTGTAATCCGGCATTGCTGCGAGTAGTCAGGCATTGAGAATATAGCTGTGCAGGTGTAATGCAGTTATTGTCAAATATAATGCAATTCTATGTACTGTGTGTTCATGCAAATTGTATAGTCAGGGGATGGGGGCTCTGTATCCCGGTGTCAGAACTCTACTAGCGCAATATAAGAGCCCCCCCCAACCTGATGTGATGAAGTGGGTGATGTATATTCAGGTGTCATGCGGTTAGTTACTTCCATTTCTATACATGTCCTTTAGCATTTGTCTAGCATATGTAATGCAGTCATCAGGTGTATAACCCAGTATAATGTGACCAGCTAATGCCATCTAGTCACATTATTTAAAGCCGAACGCCAGGCAACAGATTACTGCACACACTCACTCACTCTCTCTCTCTCTCTCTCTCTCTCTCTCTCTCCCCTCCCCCCAGTTCTGAAGTTATCACAACTTCAACACTCAACTTCTGAAGTTTAATTTGTACTTACAGGTCTCCTCCCCTCCCCACCCCCACTCTGTTACTGGACAGTGAACAGTGAACAGAGAAGCAGTATGCTGGTGAGCTCATCTCTCTGTCACTCTGCTCTCTCCTCCTATCAGTATGCTTCTTGCAGCACACTTAATTGGCTCCTTGTGTTGCTTCTCAGTCATCCAGTCTGAGCTCAGCTGTACAGCCACTGCAGGGTGCTGATACCAAGTCAAATTAAGTTACTTACGCTGTTTGTGTTTAAAAAAATACTTTGAAGGAGGCATTTATGTTTACAGAGCTGCATCCATTTGTGTCTTTTATATCTTTATGGAGTACATCTTTTAAGCATTTGTCTTATAATCATGTGCTACACTTATCAGGTATTATATAGCCAGGTGTATGTAATTTATTACATAAATATACAATTATGGAGCTGCTAATGATTTATTGTTGAGGGTTCCATGCCAAAAAGGTAACTGGCGTATGACCAAAAATTGGCCTATGTGTGTGAATGTATGAATGTGATGGGAACATTAGATGGTAAGCTCTTCGGGGGCAGGGACTGATGTGACTCGATCTATAACATGCCGTGTAATATGTCTGTGCTTTATAAATAAAGGGCCTGTGTATTCAGATATAATCAGGGGACTTGCCATGTAATGTATACTATTAGTACAGATTGTATGCGGTGTAAGAAGACTTGAGTATAAAATGAGAAAGACTCTGACTTCAGGAGCAAATTTACTAAAATGTGAGCTGAGGAGCAGAGGTGCAATGCTTTTATTTTTTTTAAAAAGCTCTATTTTAAAGGAACATTCCCCTGCACGTGCCTCCATGTTCTCTTTAGTTTACCTTGTTTTACACTTTTTAAAATCAAGCACAAAGTTTCAAGTGAGAGGGAGTGAGGCTGAGTGGAGTGCTCTAAGAGCAAGCCTGGGTTGCGGTTCTGGGAGTATAACTTTGTTATTTTAGCTCCCTAGACAAAGTGAGCACTTAACCCTTGCAGTTCAAGGGTAGCCTGACTGCAAACTGCAAACAAAGATTTGATTTGTCCAGAGTTCTGCTTTAAGAAAAGGGTCTTTTTTTCTGAGCTTTAAGATGCACTAAACAGCCCATTCAAAATGAACTGGCAATTTCATGCAGCGCACCTTAACGCACTGAATGCAGATGCATTAATGCAACAGATACAGTAATTTAAAGTGTAAATCCACTTTTGCAGTCAGATTTGAAAAAAACCCACTATATGTGTGTTATGTTTTCACATTTACATAGAAAAAAAAAATATTTCTTACATTTCTTTGGAACAAGACTGCATTGGACTCTACAGGAAGCTTGCAAGCTACTCTGAAAAATTTCAAATTAGAACTGGAGGGGAAAACCGAGGGACAGTTGTTTTTTTAATGGGTCCATTCACATACATTGTGCCAAGCAAGACTTCACATCTTTAACCCTTTGTTGGGACAGACATCTAGTTTAAAACTGATAATGAGATCTGCCAGCACAATAGTGAAAATACACCGTTAAGGGGGCATAAGAGCCCTTTCACACAGGCTTTTTGCTCAGAAGCCCAATATTAGTCTATGGGCAGCCAATTCTAAACACATGGGCATTCGATTACATCCGGTTACCCCCGGCTCCGGCCAGGCCCGGAAAAACAAACAGAACAGTGTTCCATTTTGCCAGATTGGGGGTAATCTGATGTAAAGGACACATGTCCATTTACATCCGATTCCTCATAGACCAACATGGGTCAGGTAATTTCAATTTTTTCCTCCATGGCAAGATGGATATAAAACTGGACCACACAGATGTCAACACTGTGACATCGTTTGCATCAGAAGTGGATCCTTGCATGATCCCTGATCCAACTGAGGCACCCTTATGAAAGGTGCCTTAAATAAGCCAATTGTGATATCTCCCTTCCATAGCTATGTTTCTGTTCTCACCCTCCTGGAAGTTTGGGGTGTTCCTGCTGACCTTGGCGTGTTCCCACTTTTCTTTTTGCATTATATGTAAAATACATTAAAATTCTACTAGGAGAGGGAGAAGCCTCATTACGGGCACATCAGGTATGCAGACCCGAGATCTCACCAATACAAGAGACCGCCATGACGTTTAAGTGAAATATCAGGATTTGGTGGACTGCTGTTCATTATTTATGAGGGTGGAGACACTGCAGTTTTGTGTAATGCATTTTGTTAATAAGGAAGCGTACATATGCATATTCATTAACACAATTAACTCTCAGTGTATGCTGGAAGTGATATTTGCAAACTGCCATACAAAACTTACTGCGGTCAGCTCTATAAGCTGGATGAGTTGTTATAATTGTGTTTGTTACTTTGTCTCTACTAATATTTCTCATTAAAAGATAACCATTTAATGCTACAGTATATATGCAGAACAAATATATGTAAACAACCTGGATACAAGATTAACTATTTATTTACACAGTTGTACATATGTAACAAGTGTCATTCTACACAATTAATAATACATAATGAACTTTTATAGTTTACAACACTGTCTTTACTGGGGAAAAATAATAAAGCCATTTAGAGAACGTTTAAAGGAGAACTATGGGGTTAAGGCTTTTCCCCATAGTTCTCCTTAGGGTAACGGGAGGACACAAACTAGCGTCCTCCCGTCACCCTAGGCTCAGTATACCGCGAGCTGTAGCTCGCAGTAGCTCGCAGTATACTGAGACGCCGCAGTATACCGCGAGCTGCTGTTCGCGGTATACTGAGACGCCCCAGCTGAAGCGGATCCCGACAATTATGCCGGGATATGCCCAGCTGCGTGACTGACAGCTGGCTCTGCCTATCTAGAGGCAGAGCCAGCTGTACCCGCCCCCTTCCCCGTCCGTTCTGCCAGTCAGTGCAGGCGGATCGGAGCGGGGAGAGGGGATCCAGCCCCTCCCCTGCCACGTCAGAGATCCGTGACAGGATCGAGAGGTGAGCGAACACCGGTATGTGTTCGCTCACCTCCTGATCTACTGAGCCGACCTGTGACAGTCTCATTGTCACAGGTCGGCTAGAACTATGAGGATGAGTGAAAATCACTCACCTCATAGTTCTCCTTTAAAGTTCAAATATCAGTTAGGTGTGCAACAGTTTTTTTTATTTTTCATGAAATAGATACCTAAAAGTGTATCCAAAGACAATAATTGTATTTTAGTTTTGGATAAAGTAGGTAAAGTTTAGCACCTCTATTTGTCCTAAGGACTTTTGTCGCCGGGACAGAAAGTGATGGAAAAGCCAAATATTTGAGTTGTCACTAGAACAGGAGTAGAGGGGAAATCTTTGAATGGGGACACTTGTTTTTAAAGTGACACTGAACTCAGGAATTACATCTTAAAAATGCTTTCAAGTAGCCTAACCAATAATGAAACTGTATCTTATTTGTGTATCACTTGGCTGTAGAGCCTCAAATCATCTCTGAATTGGTGCTGACACTGTTCTTCCTTCTGGAGGGTGGCTACTTTTGTTCCCCATGGTCCCAGTGTGTCTTGTAAAGTAGTCACCTCTCCAAGCTCTCTCCTGTGATAGACTACAATCTCACATTTAGTTTACTGATTTGTATTAAGATTGTTGTCCATCACAGGAGTGAGCTTGGAGCGGTTGCTTTTTTTTTACAACAGACACAGGGACAATGGGGAACAAAAGTAGCCACCCTCCAGAAGGAAGGACAGTGTCAGTACTAATTCAGAGATTATTTGAGCATTTACAGCTGAGGACACAAACTAGCGTCCTACCGTCACCCTAAGCTCAAAATACTGCGAGCTACGGCTGGGCGGATCCCGACAATTATGCCTGGATCCGCCCAGCTGCGTGAGTGACAGCTGGCTCTGCCTATCTAGAGGCAGAGCCAGCTGTACCCGCCCCCTCCCCCGTCCGTTCCGCCAGTCAGCGCTGGAGGATCGGAGCGGGGAGGAGGAAATCCAGGGGGGATTGAGAAGTGAGCGAACGCCGGTATGTGTTCGCTCACTTCCCGATCTACTGAGCCGACCTGTGACAGTCTCATTGTCACAGGTCGGCTAGAACTATGAGGTGAGTGAAAAGCACTCACCTCATATTTCTCCTTTAATGTAGTCTGTATATTCAGTTATAAATCACTTAGCAAGTGTGGCACCTAAATCCTTTCATTTAAGTGCCTTTCATCCTGTATCTGAGTACTGTAATAGGTGAAGCTCAATATACTGGGTCACTCACTTGGCTCTTTTACCAACCTTTTGTTTCCATCTCTTTTTGTGTATTCTCACTCACCTTGTTGCATTTTCCAGATCTAGAATAAGACACCCAGCAGGTAGAGATGGGGGACCCTCATAACAAGAATGCAGGACCTCATGAGCCAAGAATAACAAGAAAATGCAGGACCTCTTACCAACAGCTA